TATATAAATCCTCACTTTTCTCTACACCAATATATTATATTCTTCTCTTTATCTCTTCAATTTCATTTTACTAATATGGTGAGTTCCAATTTTATCTTTTAATATTCTTTGTCTTTTACTTCTTATCTTTATATTCTTAATTATTTTATCATTATTAGTTTCATTATATACATAATATAATGTAATATAATGCGTTAAAATGAAGGAAGATGAATAGATGCTTAAAATTTATGAAAAATAAATGCATAGGATTGTAATGTATGGCATAATTAATATTTATACGATTACAATTTTTTCTAACCTTTTGGTTTTCTTCTTCTTTATGTACAATACCCTTCCATCTTCCTACTCACCTATATATAAACTCTCACTTTTCTCTATACCAATATATTATATTCTCTTCTGCATCTCTTCAATTTCATTTTATTAATATGGTGAGTTCCAATTTTTTCTTTTTTGTTTCCAATTTCATATTGTATCCAATTTTGTTTTTCATATTGTTTCCCATCATAAAATATTTTTTTTAGTGTAATTATATATAATTTTTTTAAAAAATACTCCTATTAATTACTAAACACAATTTTTAACTCAACTTTAATTACTTAATTAAAAATTTTTAATTAAAAATTATTATAAAACTCAACAATTGATAAAAAAAAATTAAGCTCTAATATAAAAAATAAAAATAAAAAAATCCGTGCAACGCACGAGAAAACAAAAACTAGTTATAAATATAATATTACACATCACTATAAATATTGCATTACCGTTAAAGGCACGCCACTTTGGTACATATTTTCCACCAAGTGGGAGAGTCTTTTTAATCATTTCGGAATCACATTAAATTACAGAATCTTTTTAAAAATTTTAACAAGCAGCTTTTCTTCCCGAAAGCACTTTCATAAAAAACTTTGTAACAAACACACTCTTGAGCATTTCACAAATAGAAATTCTACAATGAAGGTACCAGAGAGCAAAGCGTAAGAATGTCGGCGGTTTAACGCTTTAAATTTTTTTCTTTTTTTTTGACAAAAAAAAATGATTATATTAGTATTGTTTCGAAAAGAATTAAACCTGAGATCAAAAGTGCATTCCATCAATTGTCTTTTTGAGCAACAATGATCACCATTGAACCACAACAAAAAAAAATGCATTTAACGCTTTAAATTGTTCACAGTAGTTGGGTTTACGCTCTACATGTTGTGTATATATATTCTTAAACATCTGTAAGGGTTGGAGTATCAATCCCTTATGTTTTCTATTAATATGTTACATGACCGTTTAGAAACATAATAATTCTACAAATTTTCCCTTATACAAAATTTTTATCACAAGTTTTAGTTATGCTAAACAAGTCCTTTAACTTAAAATTAACTAAATTAATATTCATGAACAAAAAACTCGCCTTATGATAAATATGATAAATGAAACAACGAGCATTACAGTGAATATTACAATGGCCGGAGCAAGAATAACCCACCCATCATAATAGGCCACAGAAATGTAAATATAAAAGACATCCATAATAATCGAATAAAGCACAAATTTCTGATAGCGAGTTCTAAGACCATCCCCGGTGAGGAGTAGACCAACCCTGGTGGGGGATAGTAAATCATTAGGTGCCTGCCTTTCGACCCAGGACTTAAAAGAAAAGCTCCTAAAATAAAAACAACCACCGATAACTATGTACATGCATATTAAACCAAATAGACTGCTTTTATCGCCACCAGATGGCCTAAAGATGAGTTGAGTAACGGAGTACCAGGTGTGTGGGAGAGAAGCAATCATGGTGGCGCTTCCTATGGTATTAATATATGTAGAGAGCCGTGGCAGATCTTCCTCAAAATCCAACCAGTGCTTATCTAACCAACTCTTGAAACCACACATCACAAAACAGATACAGGAAATTATCCAGGTGTGGTACTTCAATCCGAAGTGACTGTAAGTCACGGATCCAAAAACTCCTAGCATGAACCCAAATAAACCGAGGTCTATTCGTGGGCGTAACACCACCTGCAGACTTAGAATAAAAACAGCCATACAGAATGCAGCACCAATGTTCCTCAAGGTATTATCATAAAATTTTTCAAAACAAATTGCTAGAATAAAACAAGTGAAGTTCAATGTTGAATTTGACGTGCAGCCCCACCTCCGAGAGAGGATTTCGAGTGTTTTACTCCAATAATAGGAAAATGTTAGCATGCTCAGGCAAATAGAGATGAAACATGCCGTGATTACTCCTGTTTTATCATATTTAAAACGTAACTCTGATCCTTGCAGAAAAAACGTTGTGGATAGCAAGGCAAGTTTGCCGATCAGCTTGGCCATCGGTTGACCCATTTCCGCATCATTGGTGAGATGCATCTCAAGAGCTTCCGACGCATTTCTCATCTTACTGGCAATCCGATCCCGCACAACTCTCACACTCGACAGCAAATACAGCATGAGATCTTCCCATGCATTACTCATCTTCTCTACAACCGGATCCAACAGAGGTCTTATCGTTGACTGCCAATACAACAGGACGGCTTTCTGTATTTTGCTCATCACCCAAACAATCCAACCCCAAATAGGTCTTAGCACTAGATGATTCACCTTTTCTGTAATCGCATTGAACAGGAGCATTACTCGGGCGATAAAAGGCACTGAGAATGATGGATAAAACACTAGAACCATCCGCATCAATATACTTCCATTTGAATCTAGCAAATCTCGCAATTGGGAAAAAGAAATTGCCATAGTCAATCGCACCGATTTCTTCTCTTATTACAATGCAAATTAATTCTTGTTCATCGCCTATTTTATACACACACACATGTAAGAAAGGGAATTACAGAGAGTTGTAGTCCCTTGTTTTCAATCACTTTCACATTTTTTCAACATCAAACGCGGTAATTTAAATATCTCTGTTGTTTTCAATCACTTTTGCTTTTTTTCAACATCAAACGCGATAATTTAAATATGGGTCTGTCAGTAAAGCACAGATTAATAATCTATTAATCATATATATTTTCTTAATTTATATAAAAAGTTCAATTTATTTTTAACACTAATAATATTTTTAATTAAAAATTGATAAAATTAAAATTAACTTTTATTTTTATAATAATTACTAATAAAAAATATAATTCATCTATATACCATTAACATGTACTTTTAAGTTATTAAATATTATTTTTTTATTTTAAAATAATAAAAAAGTTTTATTTAAGATTTATTTTAAAATAATAAGAGTTCTTTTCATATTTTGC